GAGCAGGCCGCCTGCCTTCCTCCCACAAGTGATTGTTTTCGCCTCTTATTTGGAGGGTGACCCAATAACCAATTTAACAGTCCTTTGTTCTATCTGGCCAGGGTTAGGCCCTCTCCCAGACCCAAGAATTCCCCAGGCAGAGGCAAGGGAAAGAACCCGAGGGCCTGGGCCGCCCAGCCAGCCCCAGTGGCCGCCAGTTAGGGTCTGACTCCCTGTAATCCCCTCCCTTTCTGTGCTCTGGCATTTGTTTTGTTTTCCTCTAGTTTCCTAGTAAAGGTTTCTTTTGAAAAGCTTTAACCTTGTTTCCCCTGAGTGAAGGGGAGGGGGTGTTTCCACCCCTGGGCGGGCTGGGAGGACGCTGGAGGGTGTGGCAGGGGCAGAGGGACTCAGCCAGCTGGGAGGGGCGAGAGGTTGGGGCTGTACTTCAGGGGGAAGACTCAGAACAGCTGTAGGCCTCCAGCCTCTCCCTCCCAAGCAGCCGCCTGCACGGCCCTTGGTGATTTGCACTTGGCTGGTGGACTCACACGGAGTGAGGACGGAAGGGCCCCATGGCCTTCCTGCGACTTTAATGTGCACACCAATCACCTGGGATCTTGTTAAAGGGCAGATTCTGTTTCTGCAGGTCTAGGGTGGGAGGATAGGCCAAGACTCTGCATTTTCAACCAGCTCCAGGTGAGGTCCATGTTGCACCATGTTGTGGGTCTAGTCCCTTCATTGTACAGGGAGCAGAGAGGACCACAGCCCAAGCTCCCTGTACCCCAAGAGCAACTGCTCTCCCCTCCTGACCCCGCTGCCTTCCGTGTGCCTCTTCCATCACACACATCCTCCGGATGGGGTTATTAATTGTCCCTACCAGCCCAGGAGCTTCTAGAGGGCAGGCACTGTGTCCCGTACACCTTTGCAACCAGCACAGGATCCAACATCTAAACATTCAAAAACGAGCAAGTAGGTGACTCTCAGAAACACAGCCCAGATCCCCAAAATGAATCTCAGCTGGGGGAGCCCAGACCTAAACCTCAGAGCAAAGCTCGGGGTGAGATCTGGGGCCACTGCCGAGCCCCAGTGTCTGTGGCTACCCAGTTCTAACCTGTCTCTCTCCTTCCCTGGGAAGAGGTCCCAGGGGGCTGAGAAGAAGGTTGCAGTGGAAAGGGGTCCTCAACTGCGACACTGGGCCCAGAAAAGCCCGATGGAAAGGTTGTCAGGGCAGGCAGGTGGGTGGGTCAGCCCTGGTTCTGGCCCCAGCATCCTGTGTGATTCTGGGCAGGACCCTTCGCCTTCCTGCTCTGGAGTCATTCAGGCTTGTTCCCGTTTTGTCCCTCTGCATGATCAATGGACCATTCCTGCATGACAGAGACCTCAGCCACTGGCATCTTCTAGGTACCTGAAGTCCCATGTAAGGGAAAGAGCATGAGATCTGGAGCCAAACGGGAAGCCCTAACTGGCTCAGGTGACCGTGGGGATGTGGTTTCATCTCTCTGAGCCTCAACTCCTTCCTCTGTTAACTGGGATAACTTGTGAGGTTACTGTGAGAGTTAAATGAGTGGCTGGGACCCCACTTCCAAGCAATCATCACTTTCCTTGAGGGCACCCTATGATCTGGACACCACTCACTTTGTTCTGTCCTGGACCAAAATCCTACCCACCTGCCAGTGCCCTTGTCCACTGGGGGTGCCCTTCTTCCCACCCTCCTGCCCTTTGCCAAGCCGAGCCCCCCTTAGCTGGTACCCAGGACAGGGACGGTCCCAGCCCCTCCAACCCCGTCTCCCCACATCAATACACTCTGAAGAGCTTGCCAAGAACAAATTCTTTATTCATTTCTTTTTTCTTAAAAAAAAAAAAAAGTATTCCTTCGGTATAAAAAATAAATATTTTAAATATGACATTGAATAAATAAAAATAATCTGTCAGTATGAAACATTCCCACAGGGTACATTCATCAAAGAGGAATTTGTCATCCAAGGCCAAGTCCTTTCCGGTGGAAAGGAGGAAGGGAAACCTCGAAGGCCACATGGTGGGCCCACTGAGCTAGCAGTGTGGGCAGGAAGGAAGCCCAGGTATGGGGACCGGGGATGGGGGGGGACGAGTGGTGACGCTAAGGTAGGAACGTCTGTACCGTCTGAAGGGAAATCACTACCTCGCTGGATTCTGGGGCTCCAACCCCAAGAGCTCCTCTGGAGAGCGGGCAAAGCAGAGCTGGACTGCTTTGGTCAGGGTGGAAGTCTCCCCAGTTGGGGACAAGGAGAGGACGAGAGCGAGGAGGAGACACAAGTAAATAGCAGTGCTTCGTTGTTTAAAATTTTAAATAATAAATAAGGGCCTCAATACTTCTCTCTTGATAAACTGCAAAATGGTCCCTCCCTCCTCCTCTGGCCCAGGCGTGTGACCCAGATGCCAGGTGTGGGTCCACACCAGCAGATGAGAAAGGAAGACAGGCACAGCCACCTGCCCCCAAAGCTTTTTTGCATGAAGGCTCCATGATTCAGTGCTGCTGTGCAAAGTGGGCGCCCATCTGCCGGGCTGCATCTAGAGAGGGTGCCGAGGATGGGGACCGAGGGCAGAGTCTAGGCTGGGCAGGAGGGCGTCACGGTGCCAGGCCTGTGTGGGCAGGGAGGAGGAGATTCTCTCGCTTCCTGAGCCCTCAGAGGCTGCTAGGTGGGCTCAGCACAGAGAGTCCGTGTCCACAGGGAGAAGAGATGACAGCACAGCCAGCTGGCCCCGGGCTGCAGAGTCATCAGTTCTGGCTTTCAGACCAGTTTGTCCTTCTCCAAGCCCAGCTTGGGAAAGTACAGCCAGCCCCGAGCTGAGCCCAGTGGAGCAGAGGGACGGGAGGGCAGCAGCCTGTGATCCTGGACAGGGGTACGTGTGACCCACTTTTAAATGGCCTCAGAACAATGCCACGGCCGTGGTCTCCTCTGCCGTACACTCCACATCTTAGTCTTGCCGTTGGGATGGACAACTCGAAGCCCCCCGACCACAGCCTCAGGGCCTGCCCGTCGCCTGCCCACCTGTCATGCAGGTAAAGTGCTTATAGAGGTGCACAGTGAGTGTAAGGTACTGGGATCAGTACCACAATCTGGTCGGCTGAACTGCTAGGACGGCCGCCTGCTCAGGGTTTGAGAAGCAGCCAGAACACTGCTCTGAGCAGCTGCCCCGGCTCGGCGGCCTCCCTGCTCCCAGACTGCAGGGCGTTGCTCCGCTCGCCTGGCCCCGGCACAAAGGAAGGGATCGAGTTCCCCGCCTGGGAGCCCAGACATGGGTGGGAGTGGGAGGGAGGTGGGGCAGGAGGGGACCACAGCTTCCTGGTCTGAGTCCCAGGCGACTCAGGCCTCACTCTCCTCCTCTCCTGAGCAGGGGGCAGCTGCTCGTCCCCACCTGCCCCAACTTCCTGCGGTCTGGTCCAGCCAGGCCCTCGCGCCCTCTATGGGTGTTTGGGTCACCTGAGGAGCTTCCCTGCTGGATGCTGGGGCAGAATTGGTCCAGGGCCCCTCCACTACAAGTGGGTGGGCCACCAGGACTGCCCTGTCCCCTGCTCCAGGGGCACCGTTTCAACCATGAATGGTGTCCCTCACAGCATGACTCAAGGGGGCACCAGAGAACACGTGTGAACAAGCCCCCTAGAGCCAGGGGAAGAAAGCACCTGGCCACTCCACAAACTGGCCCAGTCCCTGTAGCCTGGACCCTGACACCACCAAAGCAAGTCGCAGTGGGGGTGGGAGGGATGGAGCCAGGCCCCTCACCCCCACCCCAGCTGCCCAGTTCTCTCAGATCCTGACCCTTCTCTGAGCTTCACCCGTAAGGCTAATTCTACTTGTAACATCATCTACTTCTGGCCCAGACCCTGCTAAGGCCTGGCCCTGGCTCCAATGGAAGGAGCCATCATATTATTTCTGTTGGGTTCAGAGCAGGGAAGGGGGAATTAACTTTGCCATTTAAAGCACCAATAAGTTAATATAAATAGGACATCATAATAAATAGACAACCATGCTGGGTCAGACACACAGCACTCTTGGATCTCAGGCTTCCCCAAGACCCTGGCCTCAAGTTCTGCTGTCCCCTTGCTCTAGGGACCAGAGACAATCTCTGGTCCCCCTCAAGTACCTTTGTGTGACCTCACAGGGCCTCTACGGGCCTTGGATGTGAGCTGCTACTCTGAGCTACCCTGCCTCTCCCTTACAGACCCTTGCCCAGAGGGTCCCTCAGAACCTCGTCACCTGACTTCCCGGCCTGCCCCTGTCCCTGCGCACCTTCACAAGCCCCACCTCCGGGTCCAGCCAGACCCTGGCCATCCCAGGCTGCAGGAAAGACTGCGGGGAAGAGAAAGAAGAGCCCGCCAAGGCTCTCAGGGCTTCTCCCCGTTTCCAGAGTCTTCCTCCCAGGCCTGAAGGTGGCCCTCTTCCCTCCCCAAGAGCCTGACCTTCTGGAAACTTCTGCCTGACAGTCTCTAGGCCTGAGCTCTTTGATCAGGCTCAAGAGAAGACAGCATCCCACCTCAGAGTCCCCTTCTCTCTTTACCACTCACCAAACTTCTAGGGGATAAGGAGTCCTTTGGGATCCCAGCCCCTCTCATCCCCCTAAGTCCCAACCAAGTCTTACAAAGTCTACCTAAAGGGCAGCAAAGGCACAGATGGTGGTCATTCCCCGGGGGTCGGACAATGCCCCAGACCCCTGCTGTCTTGCCCTGAGGTCAGGGCTGCTGCAGACAACTTGTTGCAGCTTGCTCACTGCAGAAAGTGAACAAGGGGCCGAGGGGACATGTGGGGGGGAGAAGTCCAGCCCACACTCCCCTCGCCAGTCTGACACCCTGGTTACAATCTCCCGGAGGAAGGGGCACCTTCCAGTGGGTGCTGCATAGAGGCCCTGCCATGGAAGTTTCAGCTCTGCTCGGTTTCATCACAGCCCACCCCAGAGTGGAGTAGACTGGCCAGGAACCCACCGGGGTCTGCTAGCAGCCCCCATTCTGGTTTAGCGATGCCCTGGGCCCCAGCCACACTTTGAGAGCCCCCCCACATCTGGATCCTGCTCCTGAGATCCCTCAGTTCATGGCATGCTTCAAGACCTCCTGCCTAAAAGGCCTGGGCCACCACGGCGATGACCTGCTTATACTTCCCCAGGAGCTGACAACCCAGCTTCTTCTTCTGGAAGACGTCCTTGCCTGAGGTGTCGGGGCCGTAGGCCACATCCACGTGGGCCACATGGTACTTGCTGCACAGGCGGCACAGCACGTTGCTGAGGAGGCCTCGCATGATGTCCGCGGTGGCATTGAGCTTGCTGTGGAGGCTGAGGGCGTTGGGGTTGAGGATCTTCTGGTCCCGGGTGATGTTGCCCAGGGAGGTGCCAAGGTAGGTGATGATGCGGTATAGCTCCACCAGCTTGGCCTTCTCCGTGCCATTGGCGTGGAAGGGTGGGAAGTCCGTCACGTTGGGGCCGCACAGCTTGTCCAGGTTGTTGGGAAATGGCTCCCCCTGGGCTGTGTACTGAGGAGCAGAGGAGCAGAGAGGGGGTGACATGGGAGTCAGGAGTTGGTTTCCCAACCCTGCCACCAACCCTCTCGGCAAGCTCTTGAGCCTCAGTTTCCCCACCTATGGCATGGGGACCCAATTTCTTGTCCTGTAGGCATCCAGAATTGTCATGAGAGCCAGAAGTAATCATAAGTGCAAATGCACTTGCTAAAGACCACACAAGTGGTTAGCAGCAGCAGCAGCAGCACTGTGACCGCACAGCCGGCACACCACACACTTGTGCTTTCACCCACCGCTCTCACCCTCTTCCTGGGCGTCCCTCCACACCCAGACACACGCAGCCCACTGTGTCTCTCGACAGCACCTTCCGTCCTCCCCACTGCCACCTTCTCCTGGGTCTCTCTTCATTGGCCTCTCACTCCATGTGGCAGAGCAATCGCAAGACTCCTCCCCCAGCCCTGCCCCTCGCTGACTGGGCACCCTGGGAAAGTGGCTTCCAGACTCCCAGCCTGGGCCAGGACATGAGGAGGAAGCAGAGGGGTTCTGGCTGTGGTTTAACCAGGCCCCCTCCCAATCCTCTCCTTCCAGCTCCAGAAGGTCCCCCTGCAGCACAGGTCAGGGCAGCCTCTGCAGGTATTTGCAAGCCCCCTCTGCAACCCCTTCCGCCCCCTTCCTCAGTGTCCTGGGGGTAACTTACATAGAGAATAAAGAGGGCGTTGGCACTGCCATTGAGCTGCGCCAGTTGGTTCCTGATCTGGCTCATGAGGTTGCTGTGACATGGGTGGCGTGTGGCACAGGTGGCATTGACAGGGGTGATGGGAAGGGGGCTCCCTGCCCCGTGTTTCCAGTGCAGAACCAGTAGCAGGGGCACGACTCCTGGGAACAGGCAGGAAGGAGCCATGAGCAGAAAGGCAGAAAATTGTGGCCTGGGGGTCCCGTCACACTGGATGGGGGTCGGGCAAGGGGCTCATGGGAGAGGACTCCCCTGCCCCTCTCCGGCTCCAGCCCTGTCCTCCTGGGTGGGCCATTTCTAGTTTTCACTCCATCACTGCACCTGTTTCCCTGTCTCCCTCTCTCCACCTCCTTATCTCTCGCTGTCCCTTCTCGGCTGCAGAAGGAGCAGGAGGGCAGTGCTTGCCCTCAGGAAGGCAAAAGCCCCAAGGCCTGCTCGGCCTCTGGCTGGAAGTCCCCAGTCTCCGGGCCAGGAGGTGCAAGGAATCTGGCTCCCTGGGCCAAGTGTCCCCTAATTCTGCCACCCTTCCCCCACCTCCTCTATCTCTGTCCTTCCCCTATGTGCCCACTCCCCTATCTAGGACCCTCAACTTCACCGATCCTGCACGTGTATCCCCACTCTCCATCCTCAAATCATTCAGAACTTTCTGTCCCCCCCACTCCCGGCTCTGTACAGCCCCTCAGCTCCATGCACTCTCCCCTCTTGTCTACTGTCCCTTGCACTGAGTCCTGGGTTAGAACACGGAGAATCCAGGAGGGGTCCCAAGTGCCACCCCTTCCCCACCACCACCTGGCCTTGGGGAGGGAGAGGAAATGTTGCAACCAGGAAAGAGAAAAGGCGGAAAGGTCGCAGGCGGCCGGGTGGGCAGGTAGAGGAAGGAAAGTGAAAGGTGACAGATCTGGGAGCTGTCCCGGCCTGTCCTGGATCGCCCCTCCCCCAGGGCCCATGCTCCCCCCACCTCGTCGCCCTCAGCCCCTCTCAGAACGGCCTTTCCAGGGCCCAGCAGAAGGCTCATGCAGGTGGTCAGGGCTAGTGTCAGGAGACCAGTGAGGCTAGAGACCCCCCGCCCGATCCCGCCTGCTGGGACAGAGGACCCGGTGGCGCCTCCAGTTCACTTCACCGCTCCCCCCAGCATCCCCAGGCAGTGCTGAGGCCCCGGGATGGCTGGAGGGTTGGGGGGCCCCGCACCCCCGTCTCACCTAGCACAGACTGCACGTTTTCCAGGCACTAGCGGATGGAGGCAGCACCTGCTCCCGTCCGGCCGGAGTTTGCAGAACGCTCGGCCGCCCGCGCCCCTCCCAGGGAGCAGCCCGGGACGCGGTTGGAAAAGAGAAAGCGGAAAGAAAGAACAAGAAGGAGGGAGGGTGAGCCCGGGAGAAGGCAGAGAGGGAAGCGCAGCGCGGGAGAGCGGGGGCCAGGCGGCGGCGGCGGCGG